AATCTACACTGAGTTCAATTTAGATCCACACCAGTTTGGGTTAAAGCTACACTCTGAATTAGTGTTAGAATTTTAACACAGAATGTGTTGGTGTTACACCACGGCCATTCATTTATCACTGCACTGGAGTTAGTTGTCCACTTAAAAGGTGTTAACCGTTATGAGTTCATTACACAGGTGCACACAACTTCAGCTGATTCCCAGGTCCATAGCAAATCAGTTTAACCCCTTATGATCCCAGGTTTATTACATACTGAGGCCTATTATTCAGTAACTACAGGGACTTCAGTTCAAACTGGCTGAGCTATTCTTAGGTTATAGAAGTGTGTAATGAAACTGGCCATTTAAGCAAGTTATCCAGTACTTGAAACATGTATTCCTCATTTAACAGACATGGGACCTTAGAGAAAGTGCGAACTACACAATGTACACTTTTTTAGTATTAATGTAAAATAAAGTTTACAAAAGTACAGGAATATCAACTGCTTGAACTGCCGAAAATAACCGGAAGTTGGAACAACTCCTTCTAAGGCCCAATCCCATTTCAACCCTCGCCCCTACCACTCAGCCCTTAGCCCTCTGTTTTGTGTTCTTGTCTAGGGGTAGGGTGTCCCGATCTTTGTTGAGATAGAGGGGGAGGGTGAAGTGTTGGGGCTACATGACCCTCCAAACGGAGGTTTTTCAGAGACTCCAAACAGAGAGAGATGGCTGAACAAGAGACCAAAGAAACCCACAAATTTAAGTATTTTCTCTGTTAAAAATTATGATAACCATTGATGAATTATCTTTTGTTGTTTCAATGTTTTATAGTTGTTTTCTTCATAACAAGCTTAATAAATCACTAATAGATGCTAATGTCTCAGTAGCTAGCTAGTTAACTTTCCCGTTCCACCTTAAATAGTTCAGCAGTTCTGGTGTCTGAAGCACCAGAATGTAACTCCTGCACCATTTAAGGTGGAACGGGAAAATTCTAACAAGAACCTGGTGAATATCTGACTTCAGCTTCATATCACTGAAGAATTAGGGGTGGGTGATAATAAATAATTGCCCCCCTCTTTAAAAGCATATGATGCCCTAAATGTAACTAAAGCCCAGCAGTGAGGAGCTGAACTTTACCCTCCTCTGCTGTCACTGCAGACTGGCAGGGTCGCCTACAGAGCAGCGCTGGTAGTTAATGAAGTGATGGTCTCATTTTCGTAGAGGAAGATTTCAACCACTACCCTGTAACTCAGTTCCAAGGAGTTAGGGTGACACTCGAAAACAAGGGGTAGGGGTAAAAAGGAGAAATGGGATTGGGCCTAAGAGCGCCCCACAGTTATAATATCCCACAGTTAAGTATGTGTTTTATGTGTGTTCTGCAGTGTGTATACAGTATCCATTAAATCTGGTAAATGTCTGAGGAGGTTTATCCATTTCAAAATAACAAATATTCACAATGAAGAAGTTTCTGCAGTTTTAGCAATGTTTTCATATCTCTATTAGAAATCTTTTTCTCCCCAGGAGAACCAGGTGTTCTGGAGCTATTCAATCCAGTTCAATTGAGACAGCTCCAGTGAGTTAAATATACTTAAATATAGTGGCATCTTAAGAAGATGCATCTTATTATGCATTATTAGAGTGAACCAGTTGCTTAAATGGAAGTAATCAGTTATAATATAAATATTAACGTATGATAGTAGATTGTATGTGCTGTCCCTCAGTGCTGGTATACGTGTTTCTCTCTGTATCCGTTTAGATGGAGTTGAAGCAGAATTATGTTGAAGAGCTCTAATAAATCCTGTATTGTGTTCATTATCGATATTAGCACATCAAATCATTGTGTTGATATTCACAGAGAAACTGTCAGCGCAGTTCAGGAACTTTATTATACACCCACACACTCCTACACACACACACACACACACACACACACACTGAGAGTTGGTGAGTCAGCAGAGGTAGGCAGTCCTTCTCTCCTCATTCAGCACAAGGCCAGCTCTGCAGACTCGTATTGATTCAGTAAGCACTGCTTACTGTGTTTAAGCCTTAAATCTGTCCATTAAATTCTAATCATTCACTCTTATAATGTAGAGAGATAGATAAACAACTGTGTGTTATAGGATAAATACAACGTCCACAAACATATTTATTAAAAAATAGATGGATACATGGATGGATGGATGGATGGATGAATGGATGGATGGAGAGTTAGATAAATGGATACATTGATGAATGGATGGAGAGTTGGATGGATAGATAGATGGATGCATAGATGGAATAGATAGATAGATAATAACAAAGATAGATGAATGATTGGATAGGTGAAGAGTTGGATGGATGGATGGATGGATGGATGGACAGATGGATGCATAGATGGAATAGATAGATAGATGATGAAACAGATAGATGAATGATTGGATAGGTGGAGAGTTAGATGGATGGATGGATGGATGGATGGATGGACAAATGGATGCATAGATGGAATAGTTAGATAGATGATGGAACAGATAGATAGATGAATGAATGGATGGGTGGAGAGTTAGATAGATACTTGGATGGATGGATGGATGGATGGATGGATGGACAGACACAAATAGATGCATGGATGGATAGATGGAGAGTTGGATGGATGGATGGATGAATGAATGGATGGAGAGTAGGACAGATGGATGGATGGACAGATGGATGGATGGAAGGATGGATGGATGGACAGACAGCCAATTGGATGGATGGACACATAAATAGATTCATGGAGGGATGGTTGGAGAGTTAGATAGATGGATACATGGATGGATGGATGAATAGACAGCCAGATGAATAGATGGATGGACAGATAGACGGATAGATGCATGGATGGATGAATAGACAGCAAGATGAATAGATGGATGGACAGATAGACAGATAAATGAATGGACAGACGGGCTGGCAGACATACACATGTATAGGTGGTTAGATGGAGTGATAGATGGATGTGCCAGTATTAAATCTACAGATTTTGAAGGACAAATCTTGAAAACCACTCAGTGGTCAGCAGAGTGTGAATGTGCAAACTATCATACAAGTTCCTTTTTATCACACACACCAGTAAAATTATGCTTGTGATAATTAAACGCAGACCAGAGCCTTAGAAAAGCAGAGGAGTGAGAGATATCACTGCTGATGTACACTGGATAACTGAAAAAGCCAAAGAATTCAAGAAGGACATCAGCATGTCCTTCACTGACTGAAGAACAGCCTTTGATTGTGGCATCCATGAAAAGTAATGGAAGGAATTGAGTATATCAGAGCATCTCAGCATCTCAGGAACCTCTACACAGATCCTGGTTCCACATCAGCATCAGAACCTCAGCTCAATGTGAAGAAAACAAGGGTTAAGACATGAGGAAAGAGCACATTCACTTTTGATGGTGAAGACTTGGACAGCTTTTGTTTACTTGGATCAATTATTAACAACAAAGGATCTCAAGAAATACGAGACAGATTGACACTCAGCAGAACAAGGATGAAGGAGCTCAAAGATCTTTCATTGTAATGATGGGCTTCTACAAACAAAGATCTGTCTAAGCTGTGGTCTTTATGGACGGATGGGCAAACATGTGACTTTGAACTTTGTGTGTTGTCAAAGAGAACCTTGGTCAGCACAGGACACAAATAAATGGGTCCTGGACCAAATCAAGCCTCTCCTCTCACATGAAGCCCAGATGACCAGACTGAAGCTCTTATTTTGGACACATTCTGAGAAGAACCGGTTCACTAGAGAAAACAGTTAGTCCTGGAACAGTTATCGAAAAAGATGAAGAGGACGATCAGCTACAGGATGGATGGAAACCATTAGAGAAACCGTGAACCAGCCAATCAGAAGCCTGAAGACCCAAACAGAGGACAGGACATTCTGGAGGAACACTGTCCATACGGTCACCAGTAGTCAGAATTCACATGACAGCAGTTAATAATAATAATAATGATATAATTATATAATGAGCATAACAATAGCATAATACATAGATAGATAGACAGATGACCTGATGGAGAAACAGACAGATAGATAGATAGACAAACAAATGGATGACGGACTGATGGATAGACAGACAAATAGATGGATAAATAAATAGATAGATAGACAGACACACGGATGGATGGATGGATGGATGGATGGATGGATAGACAGATAGACAGACAGACAATATAGATATATAGTCAGATAGATAGATAGATAGATAGATAGATTGGTTGATTGATTGATTGATGAATATACAGGCAGACAGATAGACAGTTACACAGATAGCTAGATAGATAGAGGGATGGATGGATGAATGGATGGATGGATGGACAGACAGACAGACAGACAGAAAGATAGATAGATAGATAGATAGATAGATAGATAGATAGATAGATAGATAGATAGATAGATGGATGGATAGACAGACAGAGAGAAAGACAATATAGATACATAGTCAGATGGATAGATGGATGGATTGATGGATGGATAGATAGATTGATAGATTGATGAATATACAGACAGACAGATAGACAGTTAGACAGATAGCTAGAAAGATAGAGGGATGGAATGGATAGAAGAACAGACAGACAGACTGATAGATAGATAGATGGATGGATGGACAGACAGATGGATGGATGGACAGACAGACGGATAATAACAGGTAGAAAGAGGGACAGAAATACAGACAGATTGATGAATAAATACTGAAACTGTACATAACATTATGTAATACTTTTATTATTACATAATATGTACACAATTACATAATAATAACACACATAATAACACAAAGGCCATTTACACAAGTACAAAAACATGACAGTGTACAGAAGACAATAGCGTCAGATCTGAGTGAGTGAAAAGCTGATTTGAATGTCGCCCACACACCCCACTCGTCCAGGAGCAGAGCCGGACTCTCCGCCGCTTCTCATCCAGCGTCTTTTCTTCTAGTTAAAACTCTCCTTTCTCACTGCGTACGTTTCCCTGCCGTCCACTGAGTGTCCGTTTCCTCTGTGTGCAGGTAATGTGGGTGTGCAACTTGTGCCGAAAACAACAAGAAATCCTCACCAAGTCGGGGGCCTGGTTCTACAGCGGCGCTGAGGGCCGTGGGTTGGGGCCCCAGGCCAAAGCACAGGGGTCCAGAGTTGTGGACAGGTGAGTACTATTACTGCTACTACTGCTGCTGTTTCACTGACCCTTTACTGTCCTCAAGCAGAAAAAGGCTATCATTGCAAAGACAGACATTTAGGCGTGTTTTATATTTCAGTGTAGGTTATTCAACATCAGTTTATATGTGTGGCTTGTATTTTATGGGACCTCAGGCTTGCGGGGGCCCCTATGTGCTCCAGCTCCAGCCCCTTTTAATGAAGAATTAAACTACTCTCTTAAAAAGGATGGTTCTTCAAGGGTTCTTTAGTAAAGACAGCGGTTTTCTATTGAACCGTAAACACTCAAAGAATCATTTGCATGCTTAAATGGTTCTTTGCATGGTGAACTGGTTCTTCAGATTGATGGAGAATGGGTTGTATGGTTCTGTTGTTGCAAGCTTGTTATATAGAACAACACAGAACACATTCTCCATCAATCTGAAGAGCAATTTCACCATGCAAAGAACTATTTAAGCATGCGAAGCAATTCTTGGAGTGTTCATTGTTCTATATAGAGCCATTAGTTTACTAAAGAACCCTTGCAGAACCATCTTTTTTAAGAGTAATGTGTTTGCTAAATAAAGGAAAGCAGTGTCTGCTGTTAGAGCACAGACTGTGTGTGCTGATCTGGACACAGACAGTTTGTTGTAAAAGGGCTTGTTCAGTGCTTTGTAGTGATTCTTTTTCAAAAACTTTTTCCCCACTTATTTTTCCTGTTTTGACTGGAAATTAAATAAATTAAGGGAGCTGTCTGACTTTTTGCACAGTGCTGTGAGTTAGGGTCAGTTCACCAGACCTAAGTTAGGTCTAAACTTTGACTAAAAAGGAGTTTTAATGGTGAATCACTATTGCCAATGCAATTAAACCTAAATCTAGACTTAATCCATATATGGGAAACCAGCCGATGAAGTATGTTGTGCTTGTGTTTGGTATATAGTGTGAATGGCTTGGTCTGTGGGCAGTTCTCCAGACTCCTGGACACGCAGAGAGTGTCAGGAAGACGTTAGGTCAGCAGCGCTCTGTTAGCACTCTGTGAGAGGCTCTAAACGTTTATCTGTGTGTGTGGAACTGTAAGCATGTCCAGCAGCTACAGTGGGAGAGGCTGAAACTGCAGCAGTGCATTAGTAAGAGTGTCTTTTCAGTGCTACTGCAGTGTGTGTGTGTGTGTGTGTGTGTGTGTGTGTGTGTAAGACAGGCAGACTGAGGTTCTGTGCCAGTTGACCCATCACACAGCAGTGCCAGTTTTAAAGAGGCCTGGCAGCGCTGTCACACTCAGTCACCCTCCATCCAGCAAATCATTAGGAGTCCTCAAGTGGTCCAAGAGCTGATGAGAGCCACTCTAATACAGGGGGATAAGGGGCGGGGTGGGGGGTAATGGTGATGATGATCATGGTCATGATGAAGAGGAGGAGGAGGAGGATGTAAAGGTGATGTGATGGTGATAGTGATGATGGTAAAGGTGATAATAAATATGGTTATGATGAAAATAATAATGAGGATGTAATGGTAATGATGATATGGTTATGATGATAGTGACAATGATGCAGTGGTAATTATACGGTGATGGTGATGATGTTAAGGTGATGATGCTGGTTATGATGTTAATAATAATAATAAGGATGTCATGGTAATAATTATATAGTTATAGTGATGATGACAGTGATGATGATGCAGTGGTAATGATGATATGGGGGTGGTGATGGTGATGATGGTCATGGTGATAACAATAATGAGGATGTAATGATAATGACTATATGGTTATGGTGAAGATGATAGAGATGATGATGATGACGGTGATGGTGATGGTGATGATGTTAAGGTGATGATGATGATGACGATGATGGTTATGATAATCATAATGGGGATATAATGGTAAATGATTATATGGTCATGGTGATGATAGTAATGATGTTGCAGTGGTAATGATGATATGGGGATGGTGATGGTGATGATGGTTATGAGGATAATAATAATACGGATGTAATGGTAATGATTATATGGTTATGGTGAAGATGATAGCGATGATGATGATGGTTATGATAATCATAATGGGGATATAATGTTAATGATTATATGGTCATGGTGATGATGATAGCAATGACGATGCAGTGGTAATGATGATATGGGGATGGTGATGGTGATGATGAGGAAATGGTAATGATGGTGATGATAAGAACCAGTCAAATTCAGAGGGATACTGGTGGGGGAGGGGGGATTGATGGTGAGGATAATGATGAGGAGGAGGAGGAGGAAGATGGCATTGATGACAATTCTGGTGATGTTGAAGGTGATGAGATAGTGATGATAGTAAGGATGATAATGATCTTTATAATTATGATAATGACAGTGATGATGATGATGATGATGATGAAGTTGATAATGATGGTGATTGTGATGGCAAGGATGATAATTATGGTAATGATGGTGAGGGGGAGGATGGTGGTGATGTGGGTGATGATACTAATGATGACACTGATGATGATATGTTGATCATGATGCTGGTGATGATGGTAGTGAGGGTAAAGATGATGATGGCGGTGATAGTGAAGGTGTTGACAATGGTGATAAAACCCAAGGGATAGTAATAATGCTGATGATGGTGGATGGCAATGGTGATGATTGCTCTGATGATGGTGATGATGATTGTGATTATTTTGTTATTTGGTGATTATTTTACATTACATTAACATCTACATTTATGACATTATTGTGATAATGATTATGATGACTATGTTGATGGTGATTACTGTGATGATGGCAATGATAGTTATGATGGTGATGATTATGTTGATGGTGATTATTGTGGTTACTGTCATGATGGTAATGATTATCATGATAGAGATGATTATGATGTAAGTGATTATTGTGACTATTGTGGAGGTTGTGGTGATGATTGTGCTGATTACTGTGCTGATTATTGTGATAATTGTGATAATTATGATGATGTTGAGAGCTGAAAGCTGCATATTAGAGCTCAATGAGTATATACTGCTCATTTCACCAAAAAAATATAGATCTGGCTATAAAATAAAATACACCGGACTTAGAGCTGGGCGATATGGCCAAAAACGTTATCACGATAAACAAAATTCATATCGTTCGATATCGATACATATCGCAATAAATGTCAAATCATGATTTCTTTCACATTTGAAGGCTGATTTTGCTCCTGGGGGGTTAATTGTGGTTTTAAACTATCACTTATGGTCCGATCACGACAAACACTCGGCAAACAGTGGAACATTTCACTAATCTGTCAGGGAAGAGTGGGAGAAAGTTTCTGAGCTGTTTTTATCAGCTTGAAAAGCACAGCTGCAATTTTTGTAATAGTCATGATTTAAGAAAGAAAACAGATTATTTTTAGCTGTCTGGTGACGAGCGCTCGGCTACCCCGTTACAAATAATAAACAAGTGGCCAACAACAGCGCTAAACTCTTTAGTTTCTCAACAACATCAACTCGGTTCGGTAGGTCACTGCGGTCACTCCTACCACATCCATGTCAGAGCAGATCACAGTATTCAGACACCAGCTAGACGGCTGGGTTTCTCTATGCTCCCGTAGTAGTTTAAGGGGTGAACCGCAGTGTATCTGACGCTCGCTGTGTAAAAGCATTATCTGCAGTGTGAATCTCTCACACCAGTCACAGAGTCCTCCTTTTAGGCATGTTTAAACTGAAAGCGGTGATTTTGTGTCTTGTTTGATCTACAGTATCATCAGTTCTCCGTGTTGTGCCGGAGCGCTGCTTCAAGTTAGCCAGCAGCTAAAAACAGCTAGCCTGGAAATTAGCGCTCTCCCGCTCTCCAGTGCCTCACAGCTTCCTCAGTTTACTTTCGAACATTAACCCACTTCTTTCTTTCACTTTCGCTGCTCGAGAATGCACTAATACTAAAATATGACGGTTTGGTGCTGTAACACGGCGCTGCAGACGTGATTTAACACCGCTGAAGTTGTTAGGATGTTAGGAAAGAGGTGAGTTCGCTGTAGGACAGTACAGCTACACCACTGACCTCGTCACTTGGTCACAGGAGAACAGATTGCTGGTCGCTCCACTCAAACAGGGACTGTATAACTCTGTGTTTCAGCCGTTGCTAAAGTATATTTGGCGACCCTTTTTTTACTCGTGGCCCCCTCCCTCTCTAATCAAGTCGAAAAATTCAGAAGTGCGCCCTCTCCTGGCGACAGCAGAGTAGTGTCGTTTTCCTTGCAGTAGAAAACGCCACCAGGGCTTTCGCTAAAACGTGGAAGTGTGAGAACGGTGTATTATATCGAACATTTATCGAACCTGTCTTATCGCTCTATCGAGGAAAAGTTATATCGCGATACTTATCGTTATCGTTTTATCGCCCAGCCCTAACTGGACTGTAGAGGCTACTCTGTGGTGCTCAAAATCTTGAAAGGACCATTGATGTTCTGCCCCGTAGACTCTGGGGTGAAAGTGTGTGAACCGTCTGCTGGTTTAACACAGAACAGAAATGTAGAAAAGTATTTACAGGTCAGCCGGACACATGAAAGTAGAATATACTGTGAAATGTTAATGATGCTGACTCAGTTTAGTACGTATGCTGGTTTAGTTATGCGTTTACATTTCCCACGTGGGACGGCGCTGCTGGAGATCTCAGGGACTGAGTGTGCAGCATCACATACCACAGACCATTTATATGTTCTTTAACTACAGCCAACACACACACACACACACGCACACACACACACACACACACACACAGACACACACAAAGCCTATCGTTCAGCTTTCTGCAGAGCTGCTTGATGGAGAGAGAGATTCTGATTCTGCTCTCTGTGCTGATGATTTCTCTGGTGTTGTTTGTTCTGAACATTGATGCTTTATGGAAATAAGGAGGGTGATGAAAGACAGATAGAGGTGTGGATGAAGGTGTGGATGAGGTGCTTGAGTGTTTATCTCAGTCTGACTTTACCGCACACTGTACTGACACCCAGAACCAACAGCTCTGTTTTTTTAATCCACAGCTCAGTTTCCCAATTTCCCA